CGACGTGGGTCCTCTGCAAGTGGGTCGGTATATGGGTCCGTGACGATTGTTTGTGTACGAGATCCACGTTGTATCCACTGCAGTCCTTTTCGTACAATCTCGGTTCGTATAACAGATATTGCGAGTGTTGATTATACTGGGTATCACTGACGCGGCTTCACAGCTCGGTCAATCGATACTGCAGTTCCTTGGCTGCTCTCGTCCCGTTGCGTAGTCCTGTTTGTTCAGTGTTGTTTTGCGAGTTGTTCATGGATCATAACAGGACCCTCTGTTTCCACCACCACTATTTGCAGAACTCTGGCCAAAGATGGACTCCAGAACTTCAGGGCAAAACGTTGACCAAAGATTACTACTGCTGTTGCTCAATGGCGTCTTAAACATGCCAGGGAGGTCACAGGCTTCAACTGGAAACGGAAGGTTGTCAGGTTTAGTGATAAGTGTTCAGTCCAAAGAGGTTCAGGAGCCAATGCTGAGTGGGTGTTCAGGCTTCCAGAGGAGAAGTGGGACCATAATAAAGTCACAGAAGTGACAACTAATCGTGGTAAACAACAGATGGTTTGGGCTTCAGTTTGGGTTACTTTGGGGGGTTGGGTTGGGAGGTCTCCTCTGGTGATCATGGAAAGGGATAACACCTCCAAAGGACAAGGATATACCGCCTGGTCCTATCTTAAAGCACTAGACGAAGGTCTCTTACCCTATTACAAGCCAGGGGAGCAGTTTATGCAGGATAACGCCCGGGTTCATACTGCAAAAAAGACCAAGGATTACCTGGAGCGTCACGGCATATGGATGGTCAATCACCCACCATACTCACCAGACCTTAACCCCATTGAACACCTCTGGTGGGCACTTAAAAGGGCCATGCACCTTGCTTACCCCAAATTCGATATCATAGGAGAGTCTCAGGAGGATTGGGAGGCATTCTGTGAGGCTTTGAAAGCAGTGTGGTTGACCATACCTGACACACTGATCCGTTGCCTTATTCACAGCATGCAGGACCGTATCAATGCTGTTATTAAGGCAGATGGTTACCAAACAAAATACTAGGCTTTTACAAGTAAAATGAGCCATAAACCATTTGATACCGTCTGTTGTTGGTGGTGCTACAACTACTCAAAGTTGTAATGGAAATGTTGGTGAGGTGGCTTGTGCGGATGCGCGCCCAGATTAAAGGAAGGTGACTGTAACTACCTGGAGGTGGCCTCCTGTAATACAGTCAAAGCAGGAAAGGAAGTCCCGTTAGCATGCCTTGTCCAACTTGCATTCCACGGTGCGCTAGATTGCGTACATCTTTCGGACGTTCCGGGCTTGTTGGTCAAGGTATGGGCAGATTATCCCGGCTCCCCATTATGACTTCAAGCTGTTGACAGGGGACTAGTCCATACAGCCCTACCAGCACTAGCGCTTCCTTGCTCCCGCCATGTCATGAAATCTCGTGCACCGGTTGGTACTGATGCTCAACGCAGCCAGAACCAATTTGGCAAGCAACCGTAAGGTGATTTACAAGAGGACGACTGCGCATGAGGATAAGATATGGTGCGGTAGGCACACAGGCTCCAGGGTTTATAGGGGTCGTTCCAATGCAGTACGAGCGTGGACGTCCTTGAACCCGGCCAGTGTTGATCTACACGCCGAAATGTCGGTGGTGCAGCCCTGCCACGATCCTGACCGTAGTAGTAGAACTGGTAGCAGACAAGACCAAGCAGAGATGGCTTCGAGCCTCAAGCAGCGACGCATCGAGACACGACGTTCCGCGGGGGTGGAACGAAGGGCTCCAGCTGACATCTACGCGGTGTGCTCGCTGTGCCGCCTATGTTAGCTCCACGCCAGAACAGCACCAGTCAGTACGTCAGTACCAGAAAGTTTCAAAACGCCGTGGCTCGGGGAAGGAGTGTCGTCGTAGGCTTCTGCACTGTTCTGGCGCGGCGCTAGAACCTCGCTTGATCAACTTTGGTGTACCCTAGAGCCAAGATGGGAGATCCCTCCTTTGCCCTTTCCGAACTTGCTGCAGCCTCCCTCACCGCCCGAGTCACGATTGAAGCGAAACGCAACACGGCACGATGCAGAAGTGACATATCACTTCCGCAATGCTAGTACGAGCGTCAACTTCGACACGGCGTCATCCGTTGCAGCATCGAAAGCGCCCGAACTGCCAGCATACCCTGGCGTGCCCTCGACGGCTGGATGTCAGACAGGGATAATTTTACAAGGTTTCTCAAAAAAGGGGCTAGCATGTGCTGGAACAGGACACCTCGGACAAGGATGTGCTACGATCTCGTGGGCGGGCGATCCAACTGAGCATTTCATCACAAAGTTAAGCAGCAAGAATTGTTTCGATTTCGCAGCGGGCCGGCGAAGGGCAAATTTGCATTACGATGCTTTCCTGTCAACATGTCTTAGCATATATAATTATGACCCTTCTCTTTTGCTATGCTTGAGCTCTATCCTTGGACGCAGTAATATACACAATTCTGCGTTGCATCTGTTTACTAGAGTTCATGAACAAGACGAACTGGCCTTCTACTGTCGCCTTGTCTCCATTTTTGGCCCATATTACTACGAGAACCAGTTTACAAAGGACGACTGAAGACACGCAATGATGAATTACCCCTGTTGCTGGCAATTCGGTTGTGAGTGCTTTGATTGTCAGGAAGAGCTTCAGGAGTACTCCAGGAGTCTTGGCCCAGGTTCGATCTCACTTCCTAGAACCTAAATTTACGACTGATCACAAAAGCAGAACCTGTTATTACCTCTGACTCTGCACATCTGCCGATCGACGATCAAACCACAGTCAACGAGTACGAGATATTAGAGAAAGCAACGGATGGATTGGGCTCTAGGTATGAGCCTCCAGATCTCAAATTACACTCAGGAACTAAACAAAGGGCTATAGTGATGCACAAAAGACGCGTAACGACTCAATAGCATCAGAACCGGCGCCATCATCAGAGCGATCATCATATGCAGAGTCTGAAATCCCCCCTGAATCTTCACAACGTCCGCTGTCAATGCTCCCAGACCTCACGGAAGACCAATGTCTCGCCAACCCAGACTTACCCGACCAACGCATTACGGAATATATAACTCCATCCCAGGCGCAGGTCATACATGCTGAGCCGAGTACGTCAACTCGTGGTTCTCCACATGGGCCTATTGTCCAACCCAGTATAACGTATCTAGCATCCGGAGATAGGGAGATCAGATGCCCATTTCTGGAGTGCAGCGGTCAAAAGTTCGGTCGTCTCTATGACTACGAACGACACTACAACGGAGCCCATGCAGTGAGTCCAACTGTATTCTGGTGCGATGTTGTAGGTTGTGGTCGTAGCGAGGCAGAGGGCGATCGTTTCTTTCCGAGGAAAGACAAGAGAAACGATCATATGCGGAAGATGCACGGAATGTGAACCGTGGTACGGGGTGGTGCTGGGCGGTTTGGGTGGGGAAGTAATGCGTGCTGATGTAGCCTTGTGGTTGCCGCTGACAATGATGATCAATCTGATAAAATGTTTGATAAATATAATCTGTACAATACCAATTTGAACTTTGTTTCGTTCGAAGTATTAGAGGAAACTGTTATCATGGTCTAGTAATTGTGACGGTGACTCTGCGATCCTCATTTTGGGCGCGTAATCAAGAGGTAGGTGGCAGTGCTTGAGCGACACAGCCGTGAGGTCCTCCAACATTTCGGCCCGAGCGCCAGCCACCATACGTCAACAGCGTACAGATACGCATGGACCGTGAAGTGTAGCTACGAAGCAAGGCTGAAACAGTCTCTTGCTGGAAGAATGCTGACGGAGAAAAAGGCAATTCTCTCGCACACGCCGCGACTTAGCTTGAGATCTTGGTGGAGAATTTGAGTCAACGTTTTGGACAAGCTACTGAATCCTCACCTGCTTGCGCTGCAAGTGTGCAGGCATGGGTTGTTCGTACGCTGTGTTCTAGCGGTGACAAGGCGGACTTGAGGTTCATAGTGATCCTAGCCTGTTTGGCCCATAGTCAGGTCGGCTGAGCCGTGGAGTTCTGCTTAATAGCAGTCCCCAACTGTATGGGCTAACCATAAGAATCCAAGAAGCTTATTTCGAACACGAGCTTGCAAATTCACTTTGTAAACAGCCACGTGTAGTGACCGGGAGCTCCAGGGAGAGAGCTTTCCGTGAAGCGGCTCACTCAGTGTATCATTTTGGCGAATCTGATGTTTTACAGTGCAAGTCTTGACAAAGGAACGATCTCTTGCGTGTACCGCTTGGAGCGTGCAGGTTTCTGGAGAAGGTGCGGGCTGGCTGTAAATGGCGCTACAGCCTCGTGCGTTGCGCTGCGTTAACAGGAAGGCTGCGACAAGGCAAACACAAGGCTCGAGCTAGGGCCTGCGTCGTCTATGCCAGAAATAGGACCATTCTGCTTTTTCGAGTCGTGCAGCCGAATAACAAGCTTTTGGTTGCGCCTCTACATCCACGCGTAGTCGTTAGTAAGTGACGCAGTCGTCGAGAATGAAGCGGTCGACTTGCTTGGATTAAGATGTTCTGGAACATTGTTGACAAGCGAGCCGTGGTGAGTTGTGACACAGCCACAGCTCACGTACTCGATGCGCGAGGCAGCACTCTTCTGAACTATACATCAGTGCACTCTAGCAACTTTACACCTTCGAAGGGCAAACGGATGATGGAGGTATCGTGTATATCGTTTGCAACGATGTCCCGTTCCAAGATCATCCACCACATTGCAATTCCGCGCCTAGTAACACTGTAACTGCGTGAGCAGTTTCGGTTGGAGGCTGTGATCAATGATTGTATTGCTATCTGTGTTGTTGTTCGGTGGTGTTGTTGTCCAGAATCTCTCAGCTCAGAGGTAAGTGCGCTTGCACTCGGGCAGCGTCTTCTACGATAGGATATCATGTGACCTAATCCACGTAGTTACAAACACTCTATTCTCTGATTCCACTTCGTCAACATGTCCTACACCAACGAGAACTACTTCGATGATTCTCAAGCCGTCCCGAACTTTGATGAATACGTACCCTGGGACAATGAGCGTATGTAGAGACTCTTCCATCTGCCTATCGATCGATTTTAATGACTCTTTAGTTCTGTACTTGCCCTCGGTGACTTCCAGTAACGCGCCGCATGAAAATTTCTCTTTCTTCGACACACCACAGGGGCCGGCACCTGCAACAAACCCTTTCAGAAACCTGAGCCTGCAGGATCTGCCGAGGTCAACCACGTATACGTATGTCGAGCGTAACCAGCCGCCGATAACAGCTAGTGGTTATCCGATGTGAGATCCCTGATTCTCGATTGCAGTGTTGGTGCTAATTCTTCCAAGTAGACCTGTCCTGCATGACCAACAGTCAAACATGTGGACACCGACAACGGGTACTCACGTACAACAACCTCAAGCCACACAAGCTGTACCAGAGCATTGTCGACATCGGCCATAGAGTGACCACGAACGTGCGCCATTCGACGTAGACCATTGTCGACGTCAGCTATACCACAAGCCCTCCCAAGGATCTCGACTCCTGGTGGCCACACCGTTTGTTGGATCAATTGTTCAGACGATGGTGACGATGTGATTCTCGAATGTCGTATACCTAGATGCAGACTATGCCCGTTGAACTTGGTCGCGAGTCTCTGAATGTCTTGGAGCGTTGTGTTCGGACCACGTTCGGTCAAATCACCAATCTGGATCTACCCAAGCGGTACTGGAGCACGTCACTCCATACAAAGAAAGAGTTGCTCATAGAGACCTTTTTGAAAATGACTGCAGAGACGAGAGCACTCGAACTTTTATTTCCCTACCATGATGAGGAAGCCTTCAGTTCGGGAAGACTGTATGTGACTCACATCATCCATCGCGACTACCCTGGTAGTCTTTCGGCCTACCTCAAGGCGAAAGGCTGGACACTTCGAAAGACCTATGTGAGGATTGAGAAGGTATGCCCTGGCTCGGGCTATGTCAGCATTGAAGTCGAACTGACAGTCGATGGTCTCATGAAGTACAAGGAGGTCGCCCAGGTCATCTTCCAGTATCTTGCCATGGTCGAAAAGCAGCAGCCACAAGAGTTGATCATAGATGAGTGGATTTGCGGGAGCAAGCGTCACTTTTATCATCGGCAAAAGTCTTCCCCCAGTTCCACCACAAAGTCTCTGTCCACGAGCATGCGGAGATCCTCTGATCACAGGCGACTTCTTAGCGGTCTCACCTTTGTCCATGAATTCGATGTCAAACTTATCAGCAAAGCCTCATCAGTCCTCCGCCCTCACGATATCAACATCCAGCTTTACAGCAAATGCATACCCAAAGGTTCGAAGGGGATAGAGACGTGGCAAGGTCTGACGTACAAGGCTGCCAAAATGCCTGCAGATCTTGTGCAAGGGCTGCAGGAAGCGTTTGAGAACAAAGAGAGGCTCAGCGAGTTGCATCTAAACTTCCGCAACAATCTGATGCCAAGTAAATGGGTCTTGAAACAACCAATGGACGATCAGGTCAATTCTCTTCGCGGTGACAAAATGAGTGCTTCACACGAATGGCAGGAGTTGGAACCCTCACAACAAGCAAGGGTTTATCTCAGGGCTTTTGTAGGTATTCGGAAATCAGTCCACGAGGATGTGCTAGCAGCATTGGAGAGTATGACGGCGGAGCAGATTTGGTAATTCCAGTCACAGGTTTCGGATCAATCTCACATTGAGATCTTTGCTCTTGGCAATATCATCGAGGAGGTTGTGCTCAAGATCGCGAAATCAGTACCTACGACTGTGATACCTATGACACCTGTCCCACATTACTCAAGCTGGAAACCTAGTACCAATTTCTGCTTCCAGAAGGAGTCTCCGACAGCAGGATCTGGAAGTTGCTGGGTATATGCCTTATATGTCGGACTTGCAGATGATAGCGACGTCCGCGCACATCTCTGTCTGGCTCGACAGCTACTTTCCGAACCATGCAGGCAGTTTTTCGAGGGCAGATATCGAGGGCCAGATCGTGCAGACGTAGAGAAGTGGATAACAAGCGAAGACGGCTGGGAGGACTCTTATGTCATTGTCAGTAGCGGACGAACTTCTGAGGTCGTTGAAGCTGACATCGAGAGCTTTCTAGTGTCTTTCGAGACGACACTTCATGAAATGAGTGGAGCGGAGATCAAGCACCACAAGAATGCAGTGAGTGGACTTTTCCAAGATGCCGACGAGGTTTATACGGATGCTGATCGATTCTTCGGCGGTAAAATTGGGGACAAGAAATGGTCTGCACCAGGTACGTGATCATTGCGAATCTGTAGTTCGCCTCATTGACCGATGCATAGATGCCCCCAAAGTCGTCGCGGATCGTATCGCTACACTCGACAAGAGAGATATTGAAGCTTTTTGCTCTCGCTTTTTCTCATCAGCTTCTTCACATCGAGCTAAATTGTCTGTACATCTGAATGCGCAGCGCAACCGAAAATCCTCCGCATCTGACGATCCGGCCAAGTCAAGCACCGAACACGCAGACTGAAAGTTACCGGTCGAGTGCCTGCTCGATGGGCTAATCTTAAAGATCCGAAGCCTGCAGGTAATCACCCAGGATGTTTCGAAGAGGGAAGCAGATATGCAGGGCTGCGAGCAATGGAGCCAAACAGATGTTCAAACAAAGGCTCGTAGTGGTTGAGGGCGTAGTTTTCTTCTGCACAACGTTAAGTCTTCTCACTAGTAGAACTGGCGCCGTTGCAATTTTGTATGGTCTTGAGATAAATCTGTTGATGTGACATTTACTCTTTGCTAAACCACGCCCGCCAAATGCCATCTCGATCAGACCGCGGCCATCACAAGGCCGTCTGGGTGTCTGAAGCTATTATCATGGACGCAAAATTGGTTACGAATGTTTACATGGGTGCTGATGAGCCTCGAGGCTCGCTAATTCTCAGCAGAGCAAGAAGTATCAGTTCTCGGTCAACTACAGGTTGGCGTCCAGAAGCTTTCCTTCAAGTTTGCTTCAGCAGTCCAGTAAATTTGTAATTTTAATGTTGCACAATGACCAATAACGCGACCTATCGATAGGTGCAAATGATCAATGCTCCGAACAACTATTGCCCATCGCACTTTGACCGCTATGATATACATCTCCAAAACCATCTGTCACGGTTCAGGGTGCTCTTGCCTGTCGAACCTCACCTGCTATGAGAGTGACTGCCACGTCACACTAGCGTTGTTTACAGCTACTCACCTATACGTACTGTCCGTAGCTTCACCCAATACAACCTCAGTTCAATCCTTCAATTCTTCCCACAGCGTACTGATCACTCACGATCCCCAACACCATCTTTCTTTTTCCACGATTTTCTATCATGCTTCACGTCGTGCATCTTCAGTCAGGTCTGTGCAAACGACATGTAAATTTACCTATAAAACCATCATCTTGTTCATTGGCAGGAGTGGCACGCCAAAATATCAAGCCCATAGCAATCGAATGATTTAGTAGTCACCCCGTGACAGCTGGCAGTTGCTAGACATAGCTCGTCAGTCACTTCTCTATGAAAGGATTGCATGCCTCTCACCTTCCATTTTGTTGGGCAACACCACGCCTGAAAGTATAGGTTGTGACAGGCTCTGTTTAGCCGCATTCTTCACAGATCACGCGTCGTTCTGCAATTCGCTCACGGTTTTCCAAAATGAATTCTCGTGGTTCACCTTTATTGCGCCAAGCCATCGTCCGGGAAGCGCCACTGAAGCCGAATCGTGAATCGAAAATCCAAAAGGGACACATCAAAACCCGGCAAAACAGCGCGAGCAAACTCCCTATATATGGCAGGGCAATATTAGTTTCACTAAACTACCGATTCTTTGAAGCGTTTTTGTTGAAAATTGTTCCCTCCTAAAAATTATAAACCGAGATTCCAATTTATCACTCCTTGCTCTTGTAAGATCCCTCCTAACAGCCAAAATCTTCGCTCTCCAAACTCTTCTGGAGGTCATTATTAGTAGAGAGACTCAAGGGTCAAATAATCAAATAAGCGCAAACTAAGATTCCTAACTTGCAACGTAAGGGTCTTTGAGTCTGCCGAATGTCCTTAATGCCCAAGCAGAGCTAACACAACGCCGCCGCAGCAGATCATCTGTTATTGGGCAAAATCCGGTTTGCGAAAATGAAATCCTGATAACTAAAACAGTTGAGGTATGAAATGTTTCTGTGCCGCTTGATCACTGGAATCAGCAGCTGTACTTTGCGTGCGGTTTCTCGATTCCACTCCACCGTCAACATCGATTTTCAGTTAGCAACACCATCGCTTTGTTATGGAGGCTCCCGGATCTTACAGCAGGAGAGATCATGTTTGGCAGCACGCAGCCTCCTTCACCGCCTTTCAATGATGCTACATCCCTTCGAGAGCTCGGTACCAATCACCGATCGCTAACTCACCATCGTACAGTCAATCGTAATCCATAAATCCCCTCTATCGAACCCTGCTCCAACCGTAACCGGGCAGCCGTAAACCTATAAACCGAAAGACCGATTTCATCCTCTCATACTCGCATCGTGACCCTGGAGTTGCTTCACTGTACAAAAAACTTGGTACAGCTGACCACGGTAACATTGGGCACACTTGGTGCCTTCACCAAGCGAACAGCCCTTTTCTCAGGCTTTGAGGTGAAGGGCGCTTCAGGTAACCACACCGAAGCAGAGCTTCAGATGAGCATATGGATGGCTGCTTCTTTGCGTAAAAAAACAGATCTAGTCCAACTTGCGCAGGCTGAGTCAACGGCAACGGTGGTGATCTAGCCTGCGCTCACTGTCGTTGGGCATGAGCATAACGTATACTATGCTTTCCCCTGTGAAGACCTGCTGTTTGGGAAGAGTGATATTCATATATTAGACCCAGATCTGGATCGATTTGAAAAGCTGAGCACCGATTCTGTTCGTGAAATCTTCCGATTGCTGAGGCTTTACGGTAATATGTTGGGATACAACATGGATGATCGTGATGATGGGTGTTGTGGTGGAACTTTGAAGCCTATCCTTGAGCACCTGGCGGCTAGACACTCAAACACAGGAGGCTGACACAAATTACGAAGGACGAAGTCACTGTGCTGTTGACAACAAACGCCTCTGACCAAAATTTCGATTGTTGTTCCGACTTGCATCTCGTTCGGTTACTGCACTGTACATCCACTAGTTGGTACTTGCGGCTGAAGCTGTTGAGTGACTAGATGTTAGGAGGAGTATGATTACACAGTCGTACCTGTACGAGCGAAGTGTACACATGCGACGGTGGCTGAACTAGTCTACGTGTAACTTTGATCTTCTGATGCCGATCTTCGCCAGTGCACGTGATACTATCGATCTCTTGCTTGCGGGCATGCCTACATTACTTGGCGGCCTTCCAGAACAGAGAAAGGTTTGATTCTGTTCTTGCAACGCGAGCATCTGGTGATAGTGTTTGAGACAAGTGCGAGTAGTTGGGTGATCCTCTCCAAGAACAGTGTCGTATGCAGCGCATACTTGGTCAAATAGATAGCGGGAGTCATCGTAACGGAGCTGCTTCGCAAGAACGTAAGCAAGGCTGTACATGCTCGTCAGCGTGTCTGGGTGCTTGTCTCCCAACACCTTCTTTCTCAGCCTCAGCGTCTCGCGATGCATCTTCTCTGCCTC